GTGAAAACCGAACAGGTGGTAACACTAGGAACAAAGAATGAACTGCATGCATCGATGAATCAAAATTCACATATTGCTAACATCGATTCAGGATCGATGTTTCAAAAACATCGGTAGGTCGATGCATCGACGAACAAAAACATCGATGCATCGCACAGCACTAGTCTATATACTAGTAGTGATCCGAGAACCATGTTTTAATGTAATTTAAACATGGTTAATTAAAACCACTTTAAAATGATGCGTACTGCAAACATTTTATAATAAGTGTTAAATATCAAAGCAGTTTATATATTGGATTTTTGATTTCATCTAACAACATAAAATATTTAAAAGAAATCTCTTTTAGTAACCGGATACCGTATTTCCAATTTCCCTAAAACTGTTACCTTAGAAAATGCAACATGTTCACACTTTTTTTTCACTCTTTCCGCCCTGTGGGCACTAAGAGGGCCTCTTTTTACAAGCCCATTATGGGTTCGGCCAGGCCCACAATGGGGCTGCCGGGTGGTGGGGGACGGGGCTCGACATATCCGAACGGATCACCCCCGAAAAATTCCTGAGGGTTTTTCGACCCGTTTGGATTCAAACCCGGGTCCCCCAGAGCGTGGGCTGCCACCTTAACCGCTCGGGCATCCGGCCGCAACATGTTCACACTGAATGACAGTACATGCAACAAATAGCATTATTTGTATCAAAATATGAATTTATAAAAGCAATAATAATTATAAAATATGCACTAAATTTTCGTTGAAGTTTTCTTATTGAATACATTCGAGCAATCTTGTATGGCCGTTTTTCTTGATAAAAGAAAACATCAACCAGAAGAAGAATATAATTTTCTGTAGTCTTCTAAGCAAGTAATCATTTATTATATGTAATATTACAAATCTCACACAGCAGAAATCTTCACAATAATTAATAAATACTGTATTAATAATAATTTAATTAATATAAATAAGATGTTTTTTGAAAAATAAATGATTAGTGAATATTTATTATGATAATATCGTATGGTTCTTGTGATAAATATACTTTTTTAAAATCTGAAAAAGCAATGTGTAATGTCCTAAAAACATGTTATACCAAAGTTTCACTTATTTCGAGATAATTCTCATTCTCTTGGTATTTTTCTTGTTAATTGCAGACGGAGTGGAGGATTTGGAACATGAAAAAGGGTCGGAATTGCATTCCATTTCAATAATTTTCTTCCAATCCGCTCTTATAGGTTCAAGTTGCGACTCCTCAAAATGTATCTAAAAAATTTAGTTACATTATATTACAAAAATTATTTTAAACACTTCGTAAATTTATATTTTCAACATTATTTTATGCATTAACTTCACACAGCCTCGAATTCTATGTTGGTTTTCATTTATCAATAAGAAATCAAACTAATTGAGATCGAAAGAAACAATCAGCTTCGCTCTAGAAACACATACACATAACTTGAAAAGGATCCAAAATGGCGACTGCCGCGATTACGGTATCGTGTCTAGACCTTGTTTACAGACCTTGGGTACTTAGGATCAATAGGGAAAGAAAGAAAAAGATGGTAGTACCCGTACTATCGATAGTATCGCAATGGAGGGATCTATGAGTTTAAAATATTAGTTTTAGAAACAAAAGTTTAAAAAAAACGTCCCAATTGTAAAATTTAACCATAAAATGGATTGTTTTGCCAACAGAGCATTTAAAGTAGCCACGAAAAAATTAAATACGTACCTGCTACTATTCGAAAAAACTTCGAGATGACACATCACCTCGTGCACTAAGATGCGCTTTTACAACTGCTAAATATTCATTTGTAAAACCACGTAATAGGCACTGAAACGAAACTATCTGAGCCATGAAGGACGCCATGTTGCTTTCCACCGTAAACTTTTATTACAAGCAGCCGTTTTTGTTGTCCAACGGCGCACACTCTGGCTGGAATATAGTAACGCGTTCCCGAGAAATTTTTAAACGGATGACGCTCGCGCGGAGTTACGCGGAGGAATAAAAGAAGGCACCCACAATCCGCATTAAAGCAATATTTATTTCTAGTATTATAAGCATTTATTCTTAAAAAAATGAATAAAATAAAATACGTAGGGTAAAATATCTTTATAAAATCCATAAAGTAAAATTCAACGAGCAACTATTTATTGTGACATGGTCACAATGCTAGGCTGTCATTTTTAATCATATTTTAAATTTAAAATGTATGCTCTCCACCTCAAATTAGTAGTGGCTTGCCCTTGTAAATCACTTTTCTTTTAACAATAGAGTCGTGCCGCTCATCTATCTGACACTTTTCGGGGGAAAATTTTTGAATTGAAACAACATAAATTCCGGTTTGCGCTGAAGTTCTTACATAATTAATCGAGGCCTCCTGCCGCTAAGATTTCCATATCTGGTCTCGTTTTTCATCTATCTAATTTCATTCTCGAAAGTAAGGAAAGACAGCGGATGGAGTAGACTGTTAAGGAGTCAGCCTATCACTCAAATCTTTGTTTTTCATGGGCGGTCTTTCTTGGATATGTTGGTCCCAGTCTGTCGTCACCCGGCCATTTCAATTTTGTACCTGGCCAAACCCCATAATGGCAAATAGCAATTGCACAATCTATCGTTGGCTTCGTGTTCACAAAATAATAATAATAATAATAATAATAATAATACATACGTACGAAATGCATACATACATCACGGAATGGCTAACTTTTTGACACGGCTTTAATGTATTTCTTAAAAGTAAACTTAGGATAAATCTATTGCAAAGTATTTATAAATATATAAAATGTAATGAGGTATTACTGTCGATTGTTTACAATCACATTATGATCAAATATATAAATTAGTTTCTTTATTCTAAGAGGGCGCTGAATCTGAAAGTAATCATTTACGCGGATAAAATTCACCAATCACATGTCCTGTGTCTTCTTGCTCCACGTGTCTTTTTAAACATCGGTTAAGTGTCAATCTCGTCTAAAAGTTATGTTTTAATTTATCGATCGGAATGAATATGATAAAATACAGTTATTGTTTCCATTCGACAGTGCAAAGAACGCTTCATTTTCCATCCTTGTTTCCTTAAAATTCCATTATTTTAAAACAGCATTAATTGACTTAGGTAAGTTTCATAAACGTAACATCGTGTATATGACTTGTAATAGTTTTAAATGGAGCTTGGAGGCATTGAACTTCTGTTATTCATTGTATATAACCATCCGCCAGTGAACAATTACTAATCTATTTCCTTCTGTTTCGGTCCAATTCATTAACAGTGAAGTATATAAAATAGGGATGTTATTAAACTAATTAATAGTCATATCGTTATCAGACAGGCTAATCGGATAAATTATTTTCAGAAATATTTACATATGGTTTATAATAAAAAAAAAATGGATTTTGTAGTCCTTTTTACATTAGAAGTCGAATTAGTGTGTGTGATTGGTAAAACTTGATATATTTTCCATCATTATCAAATAAGAATTCTATAAACGTAAACCTTCTAGGTTAATGTTTATAAATCTTTTAACTGTCACATTGGATCAAGTCCATTAACAAACAAGTTTTACTTTCAAGTTTATTGTTTCAACATGTTTATTTGTATAGGGTTTGTAGAAACATAAATTTTTGTTTTTAAAAATTAATTTTTGTTGAAGTAATAAAGGTAGAATCTAAAAATAGTATAATAATTTAAGATAATCGGCTGTTTTATTAACTTTATTTCGTGCACATTTTGAATCCCACCATTTATGGTTTATTATGAAAATAACTAAAAATAAGAATTTATCTTTTTTATATATGCTTTTCTTTTAATTTGAGATTAGCTAAATTTAAAGCATTTAATATATATACAAATAGGAAAAATTTAGGCATTTATATTTTAAAAAATTATCTTTTATTTATAGGGTAATGGTACCAGTAGTCAATTGTTTAAAGCTGTTTTGGGTTTTGATATTTTTTATTACAATATTGTAGTAATGCAAAAAGTAAAATTTGTATATGAAAATAAAGTTTGTTCTATATTTGTCACAGAAAAGAAAACATTTTTTATTTGAACTTTGTTTACATTATGAAAAAATTAATTAATTACACAGACTGTTTACCTAGTAGTTGATTGGGAAATTCCCAAGTCCGACCACTGAAGATCCAATTGTCGATCACGTAGCCAACTGCAGTGTTTATCTATATAAATTTAGTTGGATAAGTGGGAAACTTATACATGAACACTTATGTGAATTATGGTTTTATTTACTACCCAAACATTACATATGAGCTGCATTGTTGCAGCAACATCACGAGAGGTTCCTGCTATTGAAGAACATTTAAATGATACCACTTGCTGCAATAATTACAGCCAACATTTTTAGTTCATCCATTTTTGTGTCACTATTTAAATGATAGCACAACTTGCACACTTCTCAGTGATCCAACTTCAATTTGTATTTAGTGATGCATGAACTTTTCTGTATTTTGCCACTATATTTCCTGGAAGATATTTCAGCTTTTTTCTTCAGTCTTTCCATTTTCCCCCTTTTTTTTTCTTCTTTTTTGCTCTTTCTTTTTCTAATATGAACTCTCTCCATGACAGCAATAGCACTTGGTGAATGCTCTTTTTGTTCATGTTTCTTTTTTGTAGCGATTAGTCATGGACAACACAAATGATGAAGAAAATCAGGAAACATGTTTTTATGTGATAATATATATATAGAGTTGGTGGAGATTGATTTGAATGGGACTGGTTTGTTTCAGAATTTTCAGAACTTGGTGTGGTTCTGTTAGACATTTTTTGGCCTCTAATAACAGAAAGAGTATCAGAATGTGCTTTCTTCATATACTGATGTATTTTGCATTTTTTAGACTTGAAAATACCCTGGAATAACAGACATTCGAAACCCGACATGCATCAGAGGTTTATCACTGGTTATTCTGTACCAGTAGTTGACCAGCATAGTCGCATGATTGTTTATGGTGGTTGACAACTGGGTATTTCTTCATCAAGAACTTCACAAATATGGCAACCGCAAAAGAGAGACCTGATGTGTGTTTTCAGTCATGGACATGTCACAAAAAAAGTCATGAACTCCAATACTCAACCACCATGGTCAAACATGCAAATTTATAGTCATTATATCCAGTAGTCTACAACCTCATTATTTACATATTAGATCAGAATTGACTAAAATTGTTAGTTATGGCAGATGCTTTGATAGCTTACCACCCAGGAAAACAATTAAGCAAGCTCAATAATAGGCATTTCGTAAAAAATACACATCTGAAATACAGAAGCTTTGTTATTTTTTAAAGACCTGACAATGCCTTATATGGTCAAGTACCAGAACAATAATTTTTCCCCATCCCTGTGAGTGAGACAACCTGTTATTCTTACGTGCCATTGAGAATGGGATTGTCTTATGGTGCTTCCTGTAAAGTTGGCTCACCTAAACCTGTTCAGATGGACTACTATATGGACAACTACTGGAAGCAGTTGGCAATAGGAGCCCATACCTGCTATACAGGTTTCTTAATCATGTATATATTCTGAGACAAAAAAGAACACTCACACCAGATGACAGATTGCACTATTAACCTGTTGTCTGGTGTTTGTAATATGTACACTGCATGAACTTTGTTGGGCTCCTCCAGAGTTCTGCTTCATGTGAAGCTCATTTTTTCTTGATAGAACACAATCACAAAAAAAATAAATAATGGACATTCAAATTTTTATTTTTTTGTGATTGTGTTCTATCAGTGTAACAAGATTTGCCTGAAGCAACACTTGAAAGGAGCCCGAAAATGTACAGTACATACTACCAATATCAGACAATAGGTTTATGGGAAAATTTATGTATAAATTCTGTATATAGGACAGTAATATTATCAATATTTAACATAGTTCATAAGTAACTTTAATTAAGTATGATGCTTATTTTATTAATTGCCAATTTCTATAAAATTCTTATATTTTATGAACTTCTTTCTGCTAAATTATATACTGTACAGTACTTAAGTTTATTTAGATTTTGAGAGTTTAAAATTAAATTAATTATTTTTTTTATAGTTAAAAATTAAAATTTCTCATTTATACATTTAGGATTAATGTTATGAAATTATCAATTTTTCTAAGATAAAAGAACACAAATTAAAATTTACATTTTAAAACAAAATTGGAAAAAAATTTAATACTTAATACTTTATTTATTCAAGCTTTTATATACAGTATATAAAATATAAAATTATATTATATTGTAATGTTGATATTATATTTTTACATTTCAGAATTTTTATTATTTTAATTATATTTATTCATATACAGTACAGTATATATAATTTAATTCTGAAGCTAATTTGATATACATAATCATTGTAAGTAAAACTGCTTGGTAATGCATATGCCAGCTGCTGACTTTAAATATCATATTTAATTTGAGAGTTATAAAATTTTTATCATAATTTTTATTTATCTGTTTAAACAAAGTTTTTAATTTTCTATATTTAATTGTAATTTCTATAGTTATTTTCTTTATAATATTTAGTTATAAAGTACATTATATAATTTATGAAAAACTGTTGAATACAACATAGGCTACATCTTTTAGTATTTTCGAAAATGTTTTGTATTTTTCTGAAAAATGAAAAATAATTTCAAAACTGTCCAATAATTAAAATATTTTTCTGAGGTCATTAGAATATGTTTATTTTATTTTCTATATAAGAATATCATGAGTGTTCTTTGAAAATATGTAATTATCAATTAATAATCTTAGCAAAATTGTCTTACCATTATGTAATTATCAGTTAACTGCTTTTGTTGCATTCATTTATATATGAATGTGATGTTATACTTTCAAAACTATTTCTATTTATTTCATGAAAGTGGAATATAAAATATAATGAATGTGGAAAAACCCATTTTCGAATATAAAGAGTTTTCAAAATCCTTGCTATAGTTTGGTATTGTTGTAATCAGATAATTGCATTTGTAAATGCTCTGTGATGAATTAAATGACCTACAACTGCTTCATTGATTAGTCATCTTCACTTAGCGTAATTGTCATATAATTTATAGCTATTCTTAAGTAGGCAAAATTAACCCTTTCAAAAAAAATTAAATTAAATTAGTTAAGGTTGTAACTCTATAAACTTATATTTTAATTATAGTTATTGTAATGCTTAAATTAGAATAAAACTGCTATCTGAAATGCTATTATATTTTAGTTGTCATCTTTTTAGGAAGAGAATGAAGTCAAGCTATAAATATTTTATATGGTTATTGTAATGAGCTTTATAAAAAAGTACTTATGCTGTTATCTGATAAATAATATATTAATATATTGATTATGTTTAGTGATACAATCTATTGATTATGTACTTCAACAGATTATATAATAATGAATATTTACTTAGCATGAAATAAATAATTCAAAATATATAGACTTAAAATTCCATGGACATCAATTTATATTACTAAAGTAATATATTCACAATCAAATAAATATCAAAAGTTATTTTTTTCAAAAGTTAATGTGAAATTATTCCTAACATTTTTTACAAATAAATACTATAACAATAAGTTTAAATTATTTACATTTGTTGTATAATCTGTTTTCTTTTTATATGATAATTAGTAATATATTTGAATTAATTAGTATAAAAACAGAAATTAATATATTAAATCTGAGTTTAGAAAATTTGTATTTTGGTATGAAAAATTGCTTACTTGCAAGTTTGTAATAATATAATTTGTTTTATTTATTTATTTTTACTCAATAAACTGTTGCTGAAGTATATGATAGGATTTATATATATATAATTGAAATATAAAATATTATACATAAAAATGTTAAATGTCATTTAAATCTTAATTTTCTCAATATATTATTGAGTACTGTGCACTTGTTTTTTTTTATGTCCATATCATCATCTTTTTGTCACACTATTTAACTTCATTGAGATTATAAATAAAACTAAAATCAGATTTTAAAATTTAAAGTATATTATTGATTTAATATTTTTCAAAAATTTGTCTTTAGAAGCTTGATATTTTTAAAGGCTTTTAAATTGAAATTGAAAAAAATTATTACATTTGAAATTTTACCACTATAAAGGCTGATGTTATTTTTT